GAGTCCTCCTGGACTCGGTTTGGTGAAAGCAAAAGGTGGGATTATACTAAATAGTCTTTTGAGATGAGAACTCTGGTAATGCTGCAACAGGTCTTTGGGTTCTGACATTGGAAAGAAATGGCTTGTCAGCTTTCTCTTCCAGAATCACTCTCTAGATTGCTAGGGTAAAGAGGTTAGCACAGCGTAGAGAGATAAAATAAGATAAAATATAGGGAAAAGCAGAAAAAAATGCACACACATTGGAAAAACAAACTTCAAATCACTTCTGTGAAAAGAGATTATCAAGCAGAAATATAAGGACTCAGGAAAAGGAAGAGAGGGCAAAACATTAAAAGATTGTGAATTGCGAGCTTTTAGAATTCAGAAAAGAAATGTAGGGAAATTTTTTTTATAAATCAAGATAAAATGAAAATGCCCAAAGAGCTACAAGGCAATAGGGAACACAGTAGAGCTAGAAATGAGAAATTCAAACAAGTGAAATTGAAGATAAAGAACATTTTGAAAAATTAGAGAAATGATAGCTATAGAAAATAGCGGTGGAAATTCAACATGTGCATAATAAACCAAACTGAAAATTGAGAATACATTTTTTGAGAAGTTCGCTGAAGTTAACAAAAAACCTTGCATCTGTATAACAAACGGGCATCTATATGCCTGGAAACACTTATCCAGACAGGATATACCTTCCTATTGACCAAACAAAAATTGCTCTCCTTCAAAGATAAAGAAAAACCCTTTGGGGCATGTGTGTAAAATTTTGAGTCACTTATAAAAAGAGGAAAAAAAAATTAGCCCTCTTCAGAGATTTTTCTACCCTGACATGAAGCACCTAATCATAATGAAACTCTATCCACAAGAGAGTCAAGGAAAGACCGAATCAGAAGAATTTTATGTTGAATGATACTTAAGGGACAAAGCTACAAACAGTGCAAAAATCAACACTTGGGAAAAGTTCCCAGGAAACCATCATAAGGAAACTATTATAATAAACTTCAACAAAAAAATGACTGAGAAAACTACTGCAAAAGACTGGTCTATTTATCAAAATAAAATATGAAAACAGAACAGAATATAAATGCCATATGAACTAACAGTGCAGGAATGGTACAGTTACCAAAAAAAAGAAAGTAAAATTGAGAGGGAAAGACAAGTAGAACAAGTATGCTGATAAAATATTCTAAGCTTATTAAAAAGTAATTTAAGGATATTGAATAATAAAAGTAAATACTAAGAGAAATAATCCTATTAGCTAATATTAGTTGGCAAGGGAAAAGGGAAACATGGAAAGAGAATATTGAGTAATAGATATGTCTAAAGAGGATGGGAAACTTGTATAAATTCAATTTTTTTTAAAGATTTATTTATGCATACAAGAACTGGGGTACAGGCCGGAATGTAGGGGGTGAGAGGATTCACCAGAGACAAAGCAGGGAACAGAACAGGCAGACTGACTGAAATATACTGCTGAGGGGAGCAGCCGGTGAGTCAGGAGAGGTTTGCTCGCCATGTGGGTCACCTCCCTGCCTGGGGATCGAACTGGTGCTGCAGTGGCTGCAGATAGCTTCATAGTGCTGCATCTTAACCCCTTGCACCACCAGGGAGGCCCCATACAAATTCATAGTTTTAAAGCTAACATTTAGGAGGAAATACACATCTTTCTAAAATCTCAAACATACAAAAAGGGAAGGTAACAAACCACATAGTAAAAGTCTTTAAGAAATTAGAACAGGGGTCTCCCTGGTGGCACAAGGGGTTGGGACGCAACCTATGAGGCTGTCCACAGCCACTGCAGCATGAGTTCTGTCCCTGGCCAGGGAGCTACCCACATGACGCAGTAGACCTCTCCTGACTTGCCCATTGCTCCTCTCAGCAGTGTGTTTCAGTACATCTGCCTGTTCTGCTCCCCACTCTATCTCTGGTGGGTCCTTTCACCCCACACGTCTCTGGTCTGCACCCCAGCTCTTGTATTCGTAAATAAAAAAGAAATTAGGAAGACAATATAAAACAATATGATAGATAAATTAATCATAACACACTTAAATGTAATGGGTTTGATTTAGACATAAAAAAAATCATGTTCAGATTAGATCACAAAACAAATCAAACTCCTTCCTTTTTCCTTAAGACACAATGTTTCAGAGTAGATAAAAATAAGGACAAAAGTATATCGGAGAAATGCAGACCAAAAATAAAAGGGATGAAATGGAGCTTATTCTTAATACCAGATAATGTAGAAGTTATACCAAAACCATAATAGACCAAACATAGAAATTTTTTATAGTTAAAAAAATACATCTACTAAAAAAAATACATCTACTGATTATGATTTTCCTGTTATCCATGCATAATAGCTACGATGCCAATATTCCTAAAGCTAAAATTGTGATAAAGTGCCAAATAGACATACTAGTGGGAAGAAACTTACCTCTTAGTCCATAATAGATTAATTTTGTAAATATAAACAATGATCTAGAGGACACAAATAAAATGAATGAGAGTTGGTTAAAAAGTTCTGTACTTGAAACCCCTTTGTAAGTACTTATCAAATTCTATGAAAATTCAACATTCAACCATCAACTAGATTTTATTTTAGGATTGCAAGAATGATTCAGTAATCATTGAATTGGAAGGAAATTTATTCAATAGTAAAACCTCAAAGGCATTTGACTTTTAGAAAGTTCCAGCTATTTGTCATAAGAACATTAATGAAAATTCAATTTAATTGAAGGAAATACATATAAAGAACTACTGGAAGCACAACATATTCTAAAATTTTCAAATGTTGCTCTTTCTGATAATAAATGCTTTTAATAGCAACAGAAATTTGAGTTACATTATTAAATGTATTAAATTGTTCTTTATGTAGGGAAAGGTTTCTAGATTTGGAGCAAGCCATGATGTTATGCCGCATAATTGTCTCTTTTTATGTAAGAATAGCTTATCTGGCATCACAGAATGTTAGCTTTCACATACTTTGATTATATTTACTCTAAGCATTAAGTAGCAGAGTTTCTCCCATAGTTTGCCTCACAGATACACACTCTCAGGCAGGTAGCATTGGGCAAGAGTACTCAAAGACAAAGCTTTTGGTGTATGTTTTAGAAATACAAATTTTCATCGAAGACTGGGGATAGGAATGGTTAACTGATTTAGATAGTAATTCATGTTTTATATTGAAACAAAAGACATATGGTATAGTAAAATGCTTTTCCACAAATTATTAAACATTACATGTCAAATAAATTTTGTTTGGGGCATCTTAAAAATATTCCCCCAAACTGCTGGAGATGCATGTAATTCTAATCTGTTGTTAGGAACATTTTCGTGGAAAAGTTTGAGACATACTGTCATATAGTCTTAGTTAATATTATAAAATTGCAACTACTTTATAAATAAAATGATCGTTCTCACATTAAAACACTCAAGTCTTTTGTAAAAGCTCTAATGAGAAGACATTTTAATTATATTGATAGATTTTACAATAGAAATATTTAATAGTTATTGTATACAATTATCATACTTGTATCTGACATTTGTTATGTTTGGTATTTGTAATAAAGCATGAATTATCAAATAAGTACTAATTTCCTATAAAATGAAAACTAAGGTGTTGATCCTAGCTAATTTTCAAAAAATGTGTTTTCTTCACTAATAAGTTATGAATTGACATATATATGTATAAAAATGGAGATGAGAGACTTACAACCCAAAGAATAATGCAGATCATATGGCTATCTTTGAGAAAGAATTCATCATTCTTTACAAATGCTATTTAGTTTTATGGCATTATAGAGATAAATGTGATATCTGATTAGATTCTAGTGGGGCAAATTTACTCATTCAGAATTTTATAAAACTTTGCAAGGTAGGTATATAGCCAATAACTAGAACATAGAATCTGTGTTTCAGGAGTTTATAATTAGATCACAGAGATAAGCAGTATACTATCAACAAAAATAAATCAGAAAGGTCCATAATTACATAAAATCCATATTATATAAAGTCTTTATTACATAATAAATAAGCATCTACAGATTGTTTGGATAAAAACTACTGTGTAGATAGGAATAAAAATGGAAGATGATAGAGAAACTTGGAAAAGATAGAAAAAGATAGAAAAAGATTAGGGATTTAGGTTCTCTTTTCCAGGAAAAATCAAGGTGAATGGGTACCTCAAGTGCTGGGCAAGCATACAACTGGGCCATTTGGCAGAGGGAGAGCTTTTATATGATTTGTAAATTCCCAGAAGGTGCAAAGGGAAAATATCCTGAAAAGATTATAGTTTAAAAGATTGTGTGAACTTAATTTAAAAATACTTTCCAAATTACATATTTTTCTGTAACTATTCCCATTTATCTTTAACATAGGATCCATAAAAACTTAAAAATTAAAAAATAAATGGCATCTGGGAATCTTTGAACATGTATATTCATTGGAGTAACAATTAAGATTCCTATATGATTGGGAAATAATGAGAGCATATTAATTAAATATAGGGTTTGGTGATATTGGGGTGTTGTATATTTCAAATTACTGAGTATAACATTTGACACTCCCCCTCAACTCCCATTCTGGAAATTGATTATTTATAGAGCATGGTTACTTGAGAGATTGTTAATATAGACATGGGAGATTTTCTTTTTTTTTTTTTTTTAAGATTTATTTTTATTTATACAAGCACAGGGTACAGTCAGAAGTGCGGGAGGGTGAGAGAATTCACCAGAGCCAGAGCGGGAAGCAGAACAGGCAGACTGACGAAGTACACTGCTGAGGGGAGCAGTGGGTGTGGCAGGAGAGGTCTGCACGCCTTGTGGGACCCTCGCCAGCGGCCAGGGATCGAACCGGCACTTCAGAGGCTGCAGGCAGCTTCACAGCCCAGTGCTCAACCACTGTACCACCGGGGAGGCCCATGGGAGATTTTCTTATACTCATTTATATGAACATAAGAATGCATAAAAGTAAGACTCTCTTTCTCCCCCCCCTTTTTTTTTAATTTGCAGGCATAGATATTCTTCATCAGCTCAGCCTTGGAGACAAAGATGTAAGACATTCATCAGTGACTGCTGTACCATCATCATCTACACCATTACCTCAGGGGGTCCATTTAACAGAATCAGGTGTAATTTTAACAAATGATGCTTATATTGAGTCTCCTCTCCTGAAAGTTTTACCAGTCAACTTAGGACACCCTTTTACAATATTAATTGTGTTACAGTCATATAGCATTAATAATGCATTTCTCTTCAGCATTAGAAATAAAAATAGACTGCAACTAGGAGTGCAGTTATTACCTAAAAAATTAGTGGTATACCTTGGAGGAAAGCCGTCTGTATTTTTCAACTATAGTGTTCATGATGAGCAGTGGCATTCATTCGCCATTACTATTGGAAACCAAGTTGTCTCCATGTCTGTGGAGTGTGGAAAGAAATATTTTAGCAGAGAGACTCTTTCAGAATTTCATACCTTTGAGTCTAACAGTGTGTTTACTCTGGGAAGTATGAGCAATGATTCTGTCCGTTTTGAAGGAATAGTATGTCAGCTGGATATTATTCCTTCTGCAGAAGTGTCTTCAAATTATTGCAGATACATAAAACAACGTTGTCATCCTGAGACAAACCTTCTTCATACAACTATACTACCAGCTAAGAAACCAGAAAACTCTCCCTTGCCTAAACATTTTGGAGGAAAAGTATTGTCAGAAGGCAAAGACATTACTGAAAGCAAAAGCATCCCAAATACCATAAGTAATTATTCTGCAGCAGTATACAAACAACAGGAAAACCAGATATCAAGATCTCAGTTAACTTCTCTTCATTCAGGGAATGTCTCTGCTTGGGATATTGTGAATCATGGGATTCAGGCCAAAGAGATGATCACTGAGGAGCATACTCAGAAAAATTTAAGTTTGTCAATGACCCATCATTGCCTCAGCGAGGCAAGAACAATTAGCACAGAGAAATTAAGTTCGCTTTTAAATGTATCGGACAGAGCTATACAACATAGTGATAGAGAAGCTGATCTGTCACCATTTAAGGAGATATCATCTGTGCTTCCACGTATAAAACAAGATACAGCTATCAATCTCAAGAAGGCTATCACTGCAAATCTATACACTAATGAACTCCAGGAAATGCAACGGATTTTAAACACAACCTTATACAGAGTGACAGATGGACCATCTATGGATAATCACCTTGATCTAAGGAAGGAAGGTGAATTTGATTCTGATGCTATTTATCCCATCGAAAATAGCTATGAAACTGAGCTTTATGATTATTATTATTATGAGGATCTTAATGCAATGCTCGAAATGGAGAATCTGAAAGGGCCAAAAGGGGACACTGGACCTCCCGTAAGTTGCTGTTTTTTAAATCTGTCTTAAGTCACTAACTTCCCATACATTTCAAATAACAATCCTATAGACTGAACAATACAGAACCGGCCCATTGCAGAAATGTATCCTGACTACAGTGAGTGAATTTATGGTTGCTATAACACATCTAACCAGAACACAACCCTGGCCCAAACATTCTACCTTATTTTTTATCATTGGCAGGATGAAAAGGTTATTTAATTCTGGTAAAGTGGTGAGTAAGCTTTATGTTTTTCTTGCTCAGTTGAAATCCTAGCTGAAATCCAACTAGCCCTTCAACTGCTAAATGTAGATCAGTATTCCTTATTACAAAGCCCATAGACTGGATGCAGTCATGTTAAGAGAAGAATATGAAAGTTTTAGTAAACTAAAGAAAAATACATTAAATATACAAATTCTTTCATCAAAATAGTATCACATGTACTAAAATTAGAATGTAGAATTTGTTTTAGGTAAAGATAGTTTTGTAATGAATCATTGGGTAAAAAGCAAATCCTTGTAGTATCATATTAAATGAAATAACTTAATTTCTATGAAGAATAACATATCTTTAATAATATCAATTTACATTTATGGATTACTGAAAGTTCCACCTACCTAATGAAAAGAGCCATTCAACCTATCAACCCATTCAGTGGTAAATGTCAGCCAAGTCACTATTTAATAATGTATAACCAAAATGATGAGACAGTACATTGACTTTTTCAGCTCTGAAATTTTATTGTGTAGGAGCAATTACAGATGAACATTTAAAATTTTTAAAATCATTTAAAAGTCACTTAAAGCCACTTTAAATCACAGTACTTGAAATATATTGTTGCCTTTTATATTTGTATACTTTAAAAAATCAGCCTTCACGGCTTGAAATGAATTTTTAATTTTAAATTGCAACAGAGTAAAATAATCCTAAAGTATTTCTTTGATGAAAACAAAATATGTTATTGGTTTAGTTCCACAGTGAAACCATAGAATGGGAGAAGATGATGCCATTACTTACCTCATATTTTCTTTGTGGTTATTACTCAAACGGATTTGATAGATACTGAGAAAGTCTTATTAGAGTAAATGTTGAAATGTTTTAAAAGAAAATCTGAAGAATATATTAAAGAAATTCTTTTAGGCTATAACAACTATCAACATACTAATAATTGAGCCACTGAGCAGGTCATATTAAATAGGTATGGAACCTAGTTTCTTTTTCTGTATATATCAGAAAAAGTCAGACATATACAGACCCAAACTGGATATTGTCCATATGAAGATAATTATCAGATTGATAATTTAATTTTATCTTGTTCTCAATGTAAAATTTTGCAGTTTTTTAAGTAGAAGTATTAATAAGAAAGTCAGTCTAGTCTGGTAGTAGTGCCAATGACAGATAGGGAATTCCCATGATGTTACAAGACTAGGAAATTACGTGGGTTGACAGTAAAAATGCAAAGGAAAGAAAGGAGTCGAGCTATTTTGAAGGAAGATTTGGTGGAACTAAGAAATTAACGGTCCTAGGGACCAAGCAAAATGATGAGAAACAAAGAGAATCAAAGGTGACTCTCAAGTTTTAGTCTGTGGATTTAAAGAATGGTGATATCATTACTACAAATAGTAGTTAAGAGAAGTCATCAGTTTTAGAATAGGAAAATAAGTCTACAAATAGTAGTTAAGAGAAGTCATCAGTTTTAGAATAGGAAAATAAGTGAAGACATTTAATACACTCAACAATTCAGTAAGTTAGAGAATTTGAAGGAACTGAAGTAAAGAGAGGTCAAGGCAGGAGATGTCGATTATACAATAGATTTGGGAGTCTTCCTATCAGTATTATTGAAGATTTAGGGTTGGATAGCATTTTCATAAAAGGAGTTTGACCTATATAGGGTTAAAAGCCAATCATTGGGAATGTTTGCTTTGGGTTATATAAGAAGAAAAGCAGAAATGTGATGGAGTAGTCAGGGAGATGGGAAAGAATAGCATATTATTACAAAACCAAAGAAGAGAGTTTGGAGAAGAAATTGTTGAGCAGTGCAAACAGCCTGAGAAGTCAGAGGAGGAAAACTGAGCAAAAGTAGAAGAAATCCATTGGATATCTGATGGGAGTGTCATTGTTGAATTTTGAGAATGCACTAAAATCTAAATGTAGATTTTATAAAACTAATCAGAGTAAGTGGTGATAAAATACTGAATATTGTAGGTAATGTCTCACCTCTTCTTGAAGTGGATGCTGCTGTATGATGTCTGAGATCAACCAGATATTTCTCTATTTGTGACTTTTCTTCCACTGTGTGTCCATGTGGTTTTTTTTACATTATTTCTGAAACTTATTTGATCTGTTAGATTCTGTATCAATTTCTCCTGATGTTTTTGATCTGAAGATTATTTTTATTATAGAAAAGCCTCCTCTTTTATCCTCTAATAATTTTCCTTTTATCCTCTAATACTTTCCGATATTCTTCTCCAGGCACTCCAATGACATGTTGAATGGCCTTTACTTTTCTATTGTCATGTCTGTGTGGTCACTCTCTCTTATTTTGTGTAAATTCACACCCATATCCCTTTATTGATTTTTTTACTTGCGTAAGTTTTATCACTTCTGATATGGCTTTCATCTATAATGGTTTGTGGTTTTTTTTTTTTGTTTTTTTTTTTTGCTTTTTCATTTCTTAAGCTCTTCTGGTTCCCATTTCACACCTTTGATTGCTCTTTTTTTAATCTTGTAGTTCATTCTTTGAGTTCTCTTTTCATAAAAAATGTCTTGAAATTCTTTGCATTTATAGTAAACCATATAACTAAACTTTTTCTCTGTTGCATGGAGAATTTCCTTTTCCGGTAAATAATTTTAATTTACTGCTCTTTCTTCACACTTCCTCCTCCCCTCCAACATCTATGTGTAGGCTCCATATTGGGTTCTTTCTGGTTATTAATCACTTTTAAAATAAGATAACTCTATCTGGGCCACTATTTGTGTTGGTATAGTACAGGGAGAGGCAAAGAGAAAAAAAGTGGATTGGTTCACACTGTCAAATTTAGGTTACTGACTTAAAATTCCTCCTACCATATTTATTTTGGCCTCAGAGACTTACCTCCTCTCATTTTCATGTATAATTTATTGTGAAGCCCTTTATATCACAGACTCTCTGTAAAGTAATATAGTGATTTATGTTCTTCTTTTACCCCTGTCACCACCAGAAGTCTCTTAGGGTTGGGAGATTTCCTTGTAGATCATAAAAGTAATGGGGGGTTCTTGTTTGACGGCCTTCCTTACTGTGGGCTGTTTGGAACTGGGTCTCTATTGAGCCATGAATTATCTCCCCTATGGCTTTCCCATTCCCTCAAGTCTCATCATGGTAATCAAGGATTGTTGGGATGGATTTTTGAGAACAATAAACTTTTAGTTATGCATAGCTTGTCCAAGTTGAAGTCTGAGATTGTTTTTGGTTATCTTTCAACATTTTTCTTTACTCCAAAGTTTCTCAGTATTTGAAAGATAATCTTCATATTTTGTGGTTTGTGGTTGTGATCCTTTCTTTGTTTCATTGGAAGTGATGCTTTCTTCTTTTGGTGTTTTCTAGTGGGTTTTGAGGGAGGAAGGGTAGTTTAAAAATGTTCTCATTCTGTCATCTTTTACGTAAATACTCTAGTGCTCTTTTAAAAGCATAAATCATATTATGTAACTTGTCTACTTAAACTCTTTGGTGGCAGAAGAATAAAGCACTAAGAATAAAAAATTCTTTATCATATTCTGTGCAATCTTATATAATCTGGTTCTGCTTATTTTGGCGATCTCATTTTGCTCACTTTTCCTTATTCTGAGTTTTCTTTTAATTCCTCAATAAGATTATGATTTTATTTGTTTTGCTTTGATTTACCTATGTCCTAATTTATAATTTTCTGGAATTTTATTTTCTCCTTTTTTTCTAACTTCTATTCATCTTTTAGATCTAACTTAATACTCAGAGGAACATTTGAAGGTTAATTGAGCAGGAATTATGATCTTTTAGAAGTACCAGTCAGTCTACTGGTTATATTTGCCTTCATATGTATGTCTATATATACACATAAATATATTACATAATCAATAATAGCTAACATTAATTGAGTCCTTGCTGTACCTCATGCATAACTTACAAATTTGTTTTAGGTTATACCAGGTAACTGACGTATTAGACATATTGACAGGTATTTTATGTACAGTATCTTTAATTCTCACCATAACTCTTAAAAAGTTTATTTTTGTCAAAAGTAATTTAAAGATGAGGAAACTAAGGATTAGAAATTATAACTGACTTTTCTTAGGTTATTTAGCTAGTAAATGATTAAGAATGATTTGAATCTAGATTGAATAATTGAAAACCTTCGCAGTTTTATTTGAATTATACATTTCTTTATACTAAGCAATCACCTGAAAGTTAAAGTACCTTTTTCTTAGTACTTTATTTATAGATAATAAGTAATTATCCTCCAAAAAGCCATGCTACATAAAAATTACTTCTTTGTATTATTAGACAATGTCTATTAATAATATGTTCTCGAGGATTTGGAAATGCAAAATTGTGAAGAACAGTTAGAATTCGTTTGTCTTTAGTGCTTATCAAACTACTTGAATATTTCAACCATGATATCTAATATACTTTCTTAACTCTCCAGTATCTAATATTAACTGTAATAACATCTCTTCTTTCAATGTGAGTGGAATAATGTTAGGTTTTGTTATAAATAGAATGATGTGCAGTAAAACAAACTGGATTTTATTTAATTTCAAATTTAGTTTTTCATTTTTAGTTCTTTCTTCAAATCAGCAGTTTATAATTTGTGATTATAACAGCAGAGCCATAACTAATTTGAAAAGAATTTCCAGTTAAAAAAAATTGAAAGTCAATTTTTGGTGAAAGCAGGTGACATAGTGATAGCTATTAATATATTTGAATGGTTTAAGAAGGAGAATGTCCTCAGTTTGGCATTGAACTGAATAAGTATTTTGCTCTCAGTGTTAGAATATACATGACAGGTTTTTTTTTTTTAAATCAAGTTTTTGGGGTAGAAGAAGGGAGAAATGCAATGAAGGGAAACTGGACAGTTTGAAATACATACAGAATACCAGAAAACTGCAAAATGACTATGAAATCAATATCAGGTAAAGTTGCAAAGCAGTTAATAGTAAGAAAATGAGAAATGGAGAAAAGGCTACATAAAAAGATTGTGCTACTTGTTTATGATGTGACAACTATTTTAAGCTTGACATGTCTAGTTTCAAAGCTCATACTGTTTTTACTATAATACTGAGTATTTGTAAAAGGGAATGTGTGTCCTCTATAATAAACAAGAATGATGCCTTGACTGCAGAGTACTCAGGAGTAATTCCATGAAGGAACAGATGAATGAATATGTTTAACCTGCCCCAAATAAACATTTATTCTTCTGTAATTGTTGAATAAAAATGATGACATAAGGCATTACATGAAAAATCAAAGTAGTTTCTTAATTTTTTTAAAATATATTTAGTAACATGTAATAAACTCATAGCATTTAAAAGTTGATTAGTTTTTGTGTTTACATTTTGTTTTATGAATTCTTTCACTGTTAGTGGTTTCCTAGTATGCTGCATTTGGTATAAAGCAGAATTATTACTGGAAATAGTCAAACAATCTCACTGTAACAGTTTAACACAGTATACAGAACCTTGGTATAAATCTTTTAAGAGAATGCAAAATGGCCAGTGCTTTAATTTTTAAAGGCTAGTCCCCTTTTGAAATGTGTCTGACAAAACCTTTAGTTGTTGGTCTCCAAACCCTAAATTGAATTCCTCCTTTAGTAGTAAAAGTAAATTTAGGTAAAAATTACCCACAAAACTACTAGTTTTGGTCCCTGTAAAAAGCAGGTATGGTGGCTGTAATCATAAGTCATAGACTTCCTGTTGCCATTTCTAGACAGATTAAAGAGGACACTTTAGTTTCAACTCTTACCCCTGCTGATTAGGTACTGGGATCATTTACTTGAAGGTCATCCTCAGCTAGGAACTGGGATTTGAAAAAGAATTTGCCTAGAGTAAAAACCTTAATAAGTCTATGTGGAAATATGTGTCTGTTGTTATGCCTAATCTCTTGGCATTTCTTTCCCAAGGGCCCACCTGGTCCAGCAGGTGTCCCAGGTTTCTCAGGAAAGAGAGGTCCACGGGTAAGTAAACAGACTCCATTTTCCACTTGCTGACAGAATTAGTCACCTTCCAGTATGTTTTTCCTTGTATTGTACAGTATGTACTTCCTTTGGAAATCTGCCTGGATCTTCAATCTTAGCCTTACTATTGCCAGTAAGAGCAGCTTTGGAATTTAAAAGAAACTCAGAAAAGCATGCAGCATGTTCCTTTGTGTGTAAACATCCAGCCAAAGTATTCTCTGTCAACATGCTGAAGAAATATTATCAAATTTTAGGTTAGTGGCTGTTTGACTGCTACTTGTAACATTATTCCTCCTTACAAAGTGATCTTCTCAGTAGTTGATAGCCCATGCTGAAGTTCATTTGCTTTGGACAATGAGGAGTGGGCTGCCTTAAAACAGTGCATTCCTGAATTACATAGTGGAAAATACTGGAGCCATTGACTAGAAAAATAATTGTCCTGAGGAAAAAGCTGTCTTAAGGATTAGCAGTGGTTTCTTACATTAACCAGGTCCAACAGAAGATTTATTGCGATGTTAAAATTACTTTTTTTCAAACTTAAAAAATTGGCTTTTAAACTACAGAAATCCCTTTTTCAGTGAGCTAGAGAAAGAATTGTGATGTTATAAAGACAACTGCAAATACCATTTATATCACCTTGATTTTATCATACAAATGAAATTATGAAAATCACCCTAAAAACAACTATGAAGTTGTCCATGTTCACATCATACCCTTGCCAATAGGAGGCCCAAGCTGAGTTCTTACTGGGCACTGGTGGTAGTTTAGCATTTTTTCATTTCTCTATACTTGATAATCTATAATATTCTTCCAATAATGTTTCCCAACTGCTGTCCTCTAGCCTCCAAACCATTTCCATCCTCTAGGATGGAGACCTGGAGCCAGATTTTCTGCATAAAATCTGTCCCCTCTCCACTAGTATTTCTCCCCTGACCATCAGGATCTGAATCTCCACTTCTCACGATACACCATGTTGCCCCACTGTGCCTTCTCTAATTTCCAGCCTATTTTATTTCTATTGAAGAAATTTTATATGTCCAACTCTATTCCTTAAGGAAGAAATAGTATTCTCCGCAAGACTATTATTTTTGTTCATAATTCTATCTCCAGCCAGTTATAACTTAAAATGCACATCTTAACATTTTTCTCTTGCTAGAGTTCATCCCATATGGAAATAATCAACAGGTTATCCCTTTTTAAATCCTCAACTTTCATTGTATTGATATTTCTTAACATTATTGTTCAGGCTCCCACTTGGGCTACTGAGGTTTATGAAATAGTAATTGATAGCCATTGCCCTTATATCAACAGCTCATTTGTTAATCCTCATAATTTTCCCAGGTTCTTTATTATTAAATTTGCCTTTTGAAGGTTACAAATAACTTATGTCATTAATCTTTTTTATAATGCTAGGTTAAATATTTCAATATTAGAATTGCTGATAACCCTCTCCTTTCCGAAACATGCTCTATTAATTTGTAATTGAAAAGATGTATAACTAAGTAATTATTAGCAACATGTTCTGTGTTAAGATAGAGGTGTGAGAGAAGAACACAAAGGTGGGTACCAACCCCAGATGAGTACAGAGAGCCTGCAGTCCTGGAAGACTCTCTGGAAGTGAATCTTAGTTTTTCTACTTGCTGGTTATGTAAGTTTAAATTTACAACATTTTAAATGGAAGTGAAAATAACTACATTGCAGGACTATTATAAGGATTAATAATAAGAAATATAAAACATTAACAGTTATTCTGCATGGTAGGTATTCAGTAAATACAGTTTGAATTCAGATTGTTAATTTATTAGCCAGGTGAAATAAAATTGGAGATAGGGAAGAGAAATCACTTAATGTTGATGTAGCTAGGATTTTAAAAATGAGGTGTAATCTCATTTGATAAAACAATGATTTTGGAGGTGTAGGGGGGACTAGATAAGTGAAATCTTTAAGGAATAGATAATAACTTGAACAAAAACTCAAGTGCAGAAGGGGTTAATACCTGTTGATAGGAAAATAAACTGTTCTAATTATTTTTAGGTTTCTTACTCCGCACAGCTTTTAGAAATGGCACATTGTTCTGTGGTGATGAGAGAGGTAAACACAGTTTTGGGGTATAGCATAGAAGCCATAGGTCTGTTCAAAGATAAGAAATATTCAAGATCTCAGAAAAATAGAGAATTTTGTTAAAAGGTAGCAATTATTTTAATAAAGTTGTGTTATGTAATATTTATTTGAATTGTCATAGATACTGTTTTTCATATCTAGATTATGAATTAGCTGACTATTTTACCATTTGCAGGGTATTCCAGGACCACATGGAAATCCTGGGTTACCTGGATTACCAGGTCCAAAGGTAAGTGATTGCTAATGAGCATCTCAGGATTTTCCTGATATTAGAGGAAAAGGTCTTTTACTTTTAAAGCCAACCTTGAACATGGAGTCTCTGTCTTCTCCAGAGTATAAGTCTTCAACAAAACTGACTTAGCCTGGCAGAGATAGGTTCCTCTGAAAATTACTGCACTTTGAATTATAGGCTTACTGATAAAGTCAGGTGTAGTCCTCCTTGGCATTCCAAAGTCTTTATTGTCAAATTTGATGGCAAAATATGGAAATCTCTGAAATCTATACATTACGAAATGAATGATTTTACTTTAATGCAATTTTAATATGTAAATAAACAATAAATAAATTTCTATTCAGTTAAAGGATTTTAGAGTCTAAAAATATTCCTAGCTATTTTTCTTTTTTCCATTATTGTTTAGCAAGAATAACAAAGATAGAAATATTGGTCTCTGAGAAAATTGTAAAAAAGTTATATTGTCACTTGGTTAAGAAATTATGTGTCATTTTATAAGGGGGGGTTACCTGAATCTGTAGAAAGAGCAAATCAAGGTGACTGCAAGTTTATAAAGGTATAATTGAAATGGGAAATGCAACATATTATGGAATCCTTACACAAATACACTTGGATTAACGTGCTTTAAAAAAAATTGCTAGCCCTGAAAGTTACCTTCTATGAGTTAAATGATAATAAAGCATATACATTACCTGGTAGAATACTTGTAGATAGTTGACACTTAGAGGAGCTTCTTACTAGGTGAGTAGGCTAGTTAAAACACAATTTTTACTATGCGATTTTAAAAATACCATGTTTATTTTTCATCAAATAGGACAGTCTGTGGCTCTTCTGAGTGAAAAATAAACAAGTACAGAAATATGTTCTATTTTTAAGAGCATTTTGATGGACCATTTAAAAATTTATAATAATGTCTCTTTTTTCTAATCTAGATTGGTTCCATTTTATTTCCTTTTATTCCTTTATAATCCATTAGTATTTATAATAAAGGGGAAAAAATTGTGAAAAGATCTCAGTGAAACTCTGTTCCAGAAAAAGGAGTTCTCATTTATGTGACTATCTCAGTAGACTCTTGGTTATTTGAGTGTAAGAACCAGACCTTATTTTTTCTTTGTGTTGTGTTTGTACCTCACCCAGTGCCCTCCATGTGTTAGATACTCATTAAGTGTTAAACTGAGGCAGTAAGCTGATGTAATGTTAGTAATCAGGTACTAATATCATAAGGGAATGATAACTGATCTTAATAAGCACCTAATATTTTATAATTATATAATATATGACATCTCATTAGTTTCATTTCATTTAAGAGTATCATTCAGAGTAGACTTTATTTACCTTCTTGGCACAGCAGAAAGAGACACAAAAAGGTAAATACTTAATGAAATAACATAATTTGTAACTTGTAGAGTTGGATTAAAAAATTGAATCTGTTCATTCCTTTGTACCAGGAAGTCACTCCAACATGGTGAGGAATTCATTTATAAAAGCACCTTAAGGAGCAAGGGTGGGAGAGGGGTGACCTAAGAAATTAGATGATTTTCTGAATTCATTTAATAATAGTAATAAAGCATGCCTATTCCTGGGGAATGTCCAGGAATCTTCTGAACATTTAAAACTGTGGCTAAGAAAAACATACATTAAAAACACTATTCTATTCTTGCCCATCTCAATTTAAAATAATTTTAAAACTATTTAATGTGTACAGTATCTGATGATATATACAACTAAAAAGTTGTGAAATATTAGTAATTTATATTTCACTAAGTGTTTTATAATTGTTTTATCTAGGGCCCCAAAGGAGATCCAGGATTTTCCCCTGGTCAAGCTATTTCTGGAGAAAAGGTAATTACTGGCAAATAAAACATTTCAAGCTTTTAAAAATCATTTTTGTCTTTTTTAAATATCAGTTTTACTTAATATCAGACAGGTGATAGCAGATTTTAATGAAGGAAGAAATATTTGAAGAAATAAATTCTATTATCAGCCTAATTTATCACTTTAAATTTTATGCATTTTATTGAGTATTACTGTAGCTGCCATTGTGCCATCTGCCAATTAGGAATAGATAGGGCAAAAAAAATGCAGCAAGATATATTCCGAACCTCAAAATTTTTACTATTAATATGAATGCACATAAATTTCAGTGTGCCATTTGACTTCTTATTTAGGATTCTACATACTCATGCCATTTGCAGCAACATGGATGGAGCCTGAAGGAATTATGCTCCATGAAATAAGCCATAAGGAAAAAGAAAAATATTGGATGGTTTCACTTATAACAGAAATATAAGGGAACCAAATAAGACATCAGTTTAAAAAAAATAACAATACAAAACACAACAAAGCAAAACCAGACAATTATAAACCAGAGATATCCTGCAGGGGAGGAGGAGGGAGAGGGATCAGAGGGAGGGAGGGAGGAGCACAGGGGACTGTGGTGATGGTGCACGGGTGCCTTGGGAAGGAAATTCTATGGGGACTCAATCTGAGGGGATGGGGGGGATGCAAATGTCTAAAAAAAGATAAATTTTAAAATTAAAAAAATGCAAATGGAGTTTGTAGGAATATGTCAGGGGAGCTTTATTTAGAGACAGTTGCGAAATGTGACACTATTATGGTATGTTTGCATTTATGTAGTATACATTCACAGACTGAAAAAAATATTGGTTGTTCCTGGGCTGAAATCTGATCCTTTAATTGGCTAATAGAAACTTGTAAAATTTAGAAAGTCACATTATTAATGGGCTTTGCAGATAGTGTACTAACAAGTAAGTTCTCAAAAAAATTTAGAATCTCAAGAATTTTATTGTGCTAGAATTGAGTTTGCTGAATCTTAGAGGATGGAACTGAATTAGAATTTATTAGAACTACACTATTGTCTTGGTCCTTTAATTATTTCAAGGGATAAAAGTGGCAGTCTGAGAAACATAAATACCATCTTTTAAAATATAGGAGATTTACTTTAACTTTAGAAGTTAGAGGCCCACTCTGTTGTGGTGGCTACTTGAAAAAAAAGTCTCCATATTAAACATTCAAATTTATATCAAATGTTTGGTTTTATCTTTGTGGTGTTGCTGCAAAAAGTATAGAGGAGATCAGTATGTGTGTGTGTGCAGTATTTGTATACAATATAGAGAGGTTCAACTTGAGGTTTAGACTTGAAAGTATGTCAGTCTTTTTTAAAGGTTTTGAATTACTCCTGTTCACAATGGAGACTACAAAGGAGAAATGAAGTAAGATACAGGATTTCATAATATATTGCCATTGAGCTTTAAGTGCAGCCCAACTTTTAAAATCAGGAGATACATTTCTAAAGTGGAAAAATAAATAATTTCTTTGAAATTGTATTTACATTAAATGGATTCAAATATACCAAGAAGATAAGAATTGCACACATACAATATGAATACAAATAAAATCAAAACCTAAATTGGTGGGTGTGAAGGGAAATTGAGAAATAAGCTTTTATTATTTTTAACTATTTAGATATTTCACAATGAATGTATGCTCAATGATGAAACAGTAGAAGAAATTCAGGGGCTGGTCATTCAGCATATAACATCCACTAAGTAACATGTCTCACAGAGCTTAACCTTTTGGGGACCTTAGTTGCACACAAAAATAACTTTAAATAGTGACAAGTTCCCGGGCCTCCCTGGTGGCACAAGGGGTTAAGATGCAACCTATGAAGCTATCCGCAGCCATTGCAGCACGAGTTCGATCCCCAGCCAGGGAGCTACCCACATGCTGCAGCAAGACTTTCCTGACTTGCCTGCTGCTCCCCTCAGCAATGTATTTCTGTCAATCTGCCTGTTCTGTTCCCTACTCTGTCTCTGGTGAATCCTCTCAGTCCCCCGCACCTCTGGCCTCTACCCCAGTTCTTGTATGCACAAATAAATCTTTAAAAAAAATAGTGGTAAGTTCCCCTATCCCATTAGATGAGTAGTATATTACTGTTCTCATTTTTTTCAGATGCAGGAACAGATGGAAAAACACTCCATTGTTAGAGATCAGAAATATCCTTTTCTGATTTTTTAATTTGATGATATATTAGTGCAATAAAAATTAAGCAGAGTATAAATAACCACTAAGGAGTTTATTTAGGATTATTACTGAAGTATACTCTTTTCATGCATGATAAATGTGTTGCAGTGGAGAGGGAGAGAGGAAATCTGGCTCCCCCCATTCCTTTTGACACGTTCATTTCCTTGTCTATTAACACACCTTTCTCTATGTCAAAACACAACTCTACCCACACAGCCACTCCTTACCCTCCACCACTGGTGTACTTTTCCCTCCATACCCCAAAATGGGTTCACATACCCTCAGCAGAGCTGGGGAAGAGTGGGACAGGTCAACCCAACCGGTGAAGTTGAGTCTATTGTTGATAAACACACCTTGAACTCATACATTTTCACCCCGTTACTCCCTGGTGGTGCAATGGAAGATACCTGTGCAGCCATGGAAGTGTAAGTTCTCCTTTCCCAGGTGCTTCAGGTGAACCAAGCCCTGCCTGCCACTGCCCTGCCCTGTGTCTCCAGGTGGGAGTGCCACCAGGCTGCAGGTTCTCCCAGAAAGGGCAGGTTTGAGCCCTCCACACCTGCCTCACAAAGCTTTTACAGAGTTTTTAAAATTTAGATTTTAAAACATCGTAAACTTTAGAATAAAGGAGCTTTGGGGAGTAAGGGGATTCCTATAGAAAAGAAAGAGAAAAAGGATCTGGGGCATGGAAGTGGGGAAGTGCAGTCCAGGTTTTCAACACTGGAAGGGATATGGGCTGGCAGCCTCAGGCAATGTTGAAGAATTTCTGAAATGAGGTGGGATTTGAGCAAGATTATGAAATCAGAAACAAATGCAGTAAGATCTTGAAGCCCAAGATAAAATATTGAAACAAGGGAATTCTGATTTTCAATTCTCTTTCATAACATCAAACTTCTGTTTTTTTGTCCTTAGGGTGATCAAGGGCTTTCTGGATTAATGGGGCCCCCTGGTCTGCCAGGTGATAAGGTAAGATGTTGTTTTATTTTGACATAATTGGATGTTAACATGAATTCGGGAGCTCTGTGACTCTGAAAGATCTCATTTTGAAGTTGACCCCAAAGTCAATGTTTTAAATTCCTTTTCACAGAAAAATGAATTGGGATGCTGTCCTGGTTTAGGAAAGTGGTACCTCAAGAAAGAGGGGTCTTATGAAAAATAAAAGAAAATCCTTCACTAATGATGGGGACAGAATTCATATGTAGGAGAAAGTCAGAGCCAGTGATAGAATATTCTTTACTGTATTAGGTGACTTATATTTGCTGACTGGTGACTTTAAAGTCATTTTTACACTTTCATATGTCTAAAGTGAAGTATACTTGGTTATAAAGATGACACTCGAGTGTTTTAAAGCGTTCATTTTATTAGGAAATTTCTGCCATAATAAGTATAAAAATTTGAAGTCTGAAGGACAAAAGAGTAGTTAGGATTGTGGATAGCTAGTAAAATGAATAGTTATATGCTATGCAATTTCTAAAGTAAAAGAGAATACTAATTATTCATAAAATATGTTGTGCAGTTTCCCTGGGTTAACACAAGTATAAATCCTCCTCTCTATAGTCATATTTTTTCCAAACACTGAGTTGTTGATTTTCTGCAAGTGATAAGGAATACACAAAATTTATTTTTAGAAAGAAATTTTACAGGATTTTAAAGGCCCCAAAATATTGGACAGTATTTGACTTGATGTGGCTATCATTCATACAATAAATAATAAGCTGAGCTGGTGTAGCGTGACATAGAGTTTTTCTCATGGGAGATTTATGCTGGTATTCAAGTACTGATTACTTGGTTCAAATCCCAGATGACATTTTATAGGTTGATTGACCTTGGGTAGGTTGGTTAATCTCTCTTAAGTTTTAGTTGCCTGATTTGTAAAATGTAAAGATGACACTTCATTTCTTAGGAGTTGTAGAATACATGGGATGAGATAATCCATGCAATACAGTGTGAGACCAATAGGAGTCCTTAATAAATGATAGCTCTCAGGTATTAATATGGTTTTGGAATGGATCTTGATTTCATTTGCTTTCCTTCAGAACCCCTGCTAAAGGCTGAATTATAAAGCAATGGAAAAGGTTTTGATCTCATGTATTTTTCCTCTGATAACTACCACACCCTATTATTCTTAGGGTCTTCAGACTCATTTTCATTCTAACAGTTTTAGAATCTGATAACACTTTTGAGGTTGTTAGTTGCTCCCCAGGAGACATGAAGCTGCGGGATGACCTTTCCTACTAGAATTGGTCTTGATATACAGTCATGGATCCACTTGATTAATCCACTTGCTATGCTTCTGACCACTAAGTATACCTCTGAGGAACTGATGTTGATGAATAGCTATAAAACAAAGAAAACATATATGAACGTTATCTTTATTTTATATTAAAGAAATAGATCAATTACATTGTTGTTGCATCCTAAGGCATTACCTACCCTCTGAGTGAAAAACACTAATCATTACTTTGAAGTTAAATGGTGCCTGTGGTTCATGAAATTAGCTATCTAGATAGGGTAACACAAAGTAATGATTGAGTGGCTATTGTATAGAGTAGCAGTATATATAATTAGAAAAATTTAAAAAACTGACTTTAACCTTTCATTTTAACTTTGCAATTGTACTTAACATAGAAGATACTAGCTTCCGTAGGCCTATGCATACTTTGTGTGGGTACTGACCCATCAGTATTTTAAAATTTTAAGAAGAATATGTTCTTCTTGGTCTGAGTAAGTCTAGTAAAGTGAAATAACAATTTTATTTTAAACAAAGTGGCCCATGGATTGAGTATGTTTTACAGATTCCTTAATGATTTTTTTAACCTTTTGCAAACTGGATGCTATTGTTAACTAACAGAAAATGGAGCCTATAGAAGTCAGGGATTTTGCTCTGTTATCAATTAACAGCTGTAGCTGAATTTTCTCTACAGAAGGTTTAGTTGAAGTATTCAGAAACTGCAATTACTTTCTAAATGAAAGTACTTTTTACATATAAATTGCTTTCAGAATGGGGCGTTTGCAATTGTATGGGGGAATATAAAAATAAAATTTATTATTTAAAAAAAATTAAAAAAATAAATTGCTTTCTAAATGAAAGCATCCATGGTTTACTGTGATTTGACAGTAGTTCAGAACTGTGTTGAAAGATGGGGGATGATTTTGTAGCTTGAGAATGTTTTCTGCTTTCCAGAGTGTGTTTGTTAAAGGAAACTATATACAGATTTTTTAAAATAACAAGTGCTGGTAGGAAAAGGACATCAGGACTCAATCTGAGCTTCAACTATTTTCCACATAATAGGCTTGGGAAGTTTTCATCCACTGTCTATGTGCATGTCTTACTTTGATGTGAATGTACAGTAAAAATACATTTAAAATGAGCCTGATAGACTGTCCCAGTGGATTGTATGAAAAAGGCAAGGAAGGGAAAGACCCATTGTTGCATATAATGCTCAGGCTAATTATGAACTGTTTTTATGGAATTTGCTAACCTTGGTTCATTTTTTGAACTATATAGGTCGTGCTCAGTTACTTCTATGAAATGAATCCATATCAGGAAGACATAGGATAATGGTTCACATTAAATGTAACCTAGGAACGTCTCTTCATCTTTCCAATCCTTCCCTTAAAGTGATAGTTCTACTCCTAAGGTCATGGCAGGAACATAAGTTATTTTGTAAATGAGAAATCTAGGATAAGCTCAAAAATCTAAGAAAATATCTCAGCTTCATTTAGAGTGATGGCAGGATTGACTTAAGAAACTTTGATATTCAAGCCACTGTGCTTTCAGCTGTTCTGTGCGTATTATGAGAGATAAATAAGATGTTTGGGTTTTGAGTAACATGAAGTTTATTATATCTCTTTATAAATCTGTTTTGTGAAATAATATTACTAACATTAATAGTAGCTATTTTATCATTCGATGTTCTGATCTCTCCTGAGATCTTTCTTTTCATCTTAAAAACCCATTGAAATAGGTATTATGTTTAGTATATCATCAGTAAGTTAGTTGAGGTATAAAAGGGTTAAATCACTTACCCAAGACCACACAATTATTAATTGGCAGAGATAGAACTTAAATCTAGCCCTATAATGACACATATGCTCTTTATAACTTTGCTGCTTCCTCAGTAATTAATAATTTATTAAGTTAATATCTGTTAGATGTGTATTTTAATCCTTCTATTGCAAGCATGTATGCAAGAGGAAGTGAAACTTTGTTTTCATGAAAACCAAGGAAACAGATATATTTTTGGATGACAGATAATGACTTCATTATCCTTTTCACTAGAAATGTCTGGAAACAGCAAAGTCTTCTAATAAAAGCCATACTTAAGTACTTTTTAAAATGACTGTAAGAAAGTTGTGTGGAAGATACTGACAACTCAGGAAAGCTGTTGAGATGAATAAACATGAGAATAATGTAAAAAAAAAAATTCTGGACACTAGATTAACATTGAGACAGCATGGGCTTTCCTGGTGGTGCAAGGGGTTAAGCACCACTCTATGAAGCAATTGCAGCCTCAGCAGCATGAGTTCGATCCCTGGCCAGCCAGGGAGCAACCCACATGGCGTGGCAGACTTCTCCTGACTCTCCCGCTGCTCCCCTCAGCAGTGTATTTCAGTCAGTCTGCCTGTTCTATTCCCTATTCTGTCTCTGGCGGGTCCTCTCACTCCCGGGATCTCTGGCCTGTGCCCCAGCTCTTGTATGCATAAATAAATAAGTCTTTTAAAAAAAATTGAGACAACAAAAACAAAGCTAGTACATCAGGAACAGCTACTTTTTCTCTCCAGTAGATTTTTGGTTTGCCTCTTCCCTAGCACATTTTCTCTCTATCTCCCTCCACATTTTTTTTAAATTAGTATTAACATCTTTAACAAAAAATGTGTTTTCCTAGATTGACTGGTTACAGTGCCTCCACTCACTTACATTTATGTAACACTTATTTTCCTAAAACCTAAAGTTTGCTTTCGCTTCCCACTAAGTATCTACATTTTTGCCAAAAAGCAGTTAAGTTGGATCCAGAGTTCATGCTGTGTTGGCTGGAAGTCAAGAGTCATAATTCTGAGCTTGGACTCCAGATGGACTTTTAAATTGGTTTTTAATATAGCTGATCAGTTGTTACATAAATATGGGAAGTCTGCTATTTAAAATTGTGAGAATAATAGCAGTGATTTCAATGGAAGCAGTTTTTCTAGGATTAAGAGAATATGCCAGAAGGGAGCAGTTCAGCACATTTTAGCGTGAAGGTATAACTCAGAGTAATTGTGAAACATGATGCACTTCATTTAAAATAGATTTTTATGAATAATGTTATAATGGTACTTTTCTGAATATAAAAATACTAATTACTGTGGTTTTAGTGATAATTCTAAATCTGAATTTTCATTCCATTTTGGTGGAATTTTTGCATTTATTAAAAGAATTCCTCCTATGGCAGAGGAGGTACACAGTCAATATAGTTGCAAAGTTGGAAAATCAAAAAAGAATATCATGTGCAATGCATGGAGATTCATCAGTCGTTCAGAGTATACAGCTTTTCATGATCTATTGAAAGCAAGGACATTACTATGGACCTACAATGTACTTAACATCAATGAGTATAACAGTAAAATCAGGCTTGCTTTAAAATGAGTGCCTGAAGAGAGAAACTAAGGTTTTACTATTCCATAGTTAACTGTATAGACAATCTTTTTACCTGCCTTCTCTAAATATCTGTGTAGCTATGTCTTCCTTTGGGTTTCCAGGCCCAAGTGTAGTACTGAAAGTCTAGTATAAATTTTGCTGAGAGGCTGTGCTGGCAGCACTGGTATCCTCTCTTCTACAGTCCTCCATTCCCACTAATAGCAGGGGGAGCCAAGAACAAAGCCTACAATCCTAAACTCGCAGGCAAGCTGGCAGTTGCCAAAGTGATGTGACTTTCATTTATTAACAATAAATTCATTGGATTAACATTATTTCAGTTTCCAGGAAT